GATTCCACACAGGCGTATTATTCTAGTTCAAACCTGTGTATTCACATTTCATGTTGTCGTTGCAGAAGCACAGCGGGAGCTCCACATACACACACGTCAGACATGCACAGAGACACATCACGTTGCGCTCCCCATTTGGCTCAGCTGATCTGGCCTCTCCTCTTTACTACTTCAAAGAAGGGGGGGGATCACTTTGTCCCCCATTACGCCATTGCGACATTCACAGTGAAGGTGAAGCGTCGCAGTGGCGTAAATATTGTGGTTTGAAACAGCCGTTGGAGTAGGGCTTCTTTCTCTCTGCCTACCAGTTGCTGTGTACTTTATTTTGCAGGGACTGGTAACCACATCTCCCCTGCCAGGACAGACCACTGCACTGAAGAAGATGAAAGAACAGAAGGGCAACCGTTTCATGTGTCCCCTCATGTGTCCCCCTCCCTCTCTGTGACACATATACATACTGAAACACACACGCACATACAAACCTGCACACACTCATGCATGCATACAGATGCCAATAGTTTGTCCTACATAAGAAGATACAAATAAGAGGGGTTAAATGACCTCGGCTACGGGAACATTTAGGGAGGAAATATTTACACATTGAAGTGGAGCGAATGCTTCCTGCGTGTTACAATCGCCACAATCCATTTCATTTTATACTTCATAAAAAAAGCAACAACAGAGAACAACAGGAGGAACTTTCTAATGTTGAAAAGAAAACCAAAAGAGATACAGCACTTCAAAGGGTAAAGAAACATTGGACTGTTTTCATGTGAGTTTCTTCTAGTACCTCGCTCTACTTTCTCCTATCTCACATCGGCAGTGAATTAATGAAGCAAATAAAATAAAATAAAAATACTAAACAAAGTAATTAGTTTACCTCTGAAGATTTGAGCAAATGCTTTCCTGAAGATATGATTTTTATTTTTCGTCTGGGGAGCTCTTTGCAGAGTTGATTAATTACCACTTAGAGAAGTTTTTTAATGAAAGAAAACAGAAAAAAAAGCCCTCCAATAAGGCAGCACTCAGCTCATGTACACTGCAAGTTTTCCACTCCTGTGTTAAGCACTTAGTGTATTAGTATAGAGTTTAAAATAATCGTCTGAATGACAAAATAAGGCAAAAGTGTAAAGAAGAGCTTCGATCAGACTGCAGGGCTCCCATCTTGCCTATGTGTTGATATTTAGTCATATATGCCATGCGTGAGTATTACAATGTTCTTTTGTGATTAACTGAGTATAAAATTGAGAGAATTTCCATGGGATTGCAGTTCTGTGACAGAGCATACACAAAGATTTAGCTGAAATAGAGGAATTATAGAAAAGAAGGTAAAACAGATAAGTTAGTTAAAAGTGAAGAAGACAGTAAACCATGCAGCACCACACAGCCTCAGCCAGTCAGTTTACCCAGTGAAGTTAGCTCAGAGCCGGTGTTAGTAAGCTCCAGGAACCCCTGGGTGCTGCAGGGGGCTGGAAGAGAGGCCTCCAGTGGCAGTGGGTTAGTAGCCAACGCAGATGTAGCCGCAGCATCAGTATCAGTATCAGTATCATCATCATCATCATCATCATCATCATCATCGTCGTCGTCATTATCATCATCTCCACCTCCACCAAAATAGAGCTGCTCTTCCTCAGCTGTCCCCTCTTCCTCATCCTCACCCCTTTCACCATCAACAGCATCACCCTCATGATGACATCTCACTTGGTCCAAAATGTCTGGAGGTGCGTAGTGGGCCAGAGGAATGGAGATATGAAAGGGTGTGAGTGGGTGAGACAAGGAAGTAAAGTGAGAGGTGAAGATATAACGAAGAGAGGGGGAAATGGAGGAGGAGAAAAAAAAAAGAGGTGTTAAAGGAATAAAAGGCCGTAATGAAGACAAAGGGAATTGCAGAGGAAAAAAAAAAGCTTGGTTAGTTTGTTAAAAGAACATATTAATTTAATTGAAAGATCCCGTCTTATATATCTCAAAACAAAGCTGGTAACCACAGCTTCCCCTCTCAAAATCTTTCAGACAACAAGCGCACACTTTTTGTCTTTGTCCAAAAGACAGGTGGAAAAATGAAACTAAAGTTCCCATAATTTAAAGTCTGTATTCATCCAAAGAGGAACGTAACAGTGGACTTGTTAACCTAAAAAGACTGCATCAGACGGTACTTACACTACTTCAGCTATGGCTAGATAGTTAGGGGAGATCATTTTTTATCCCTACAGAGTCTTGGATGACGACCGTATAAATCGACAAAAAAGAACACCGCAAACATTGTTGCTGAATAAAGCCGGACGGCCCGTCCAGGTCTGATCTATGTCCCTATGATAACTGTCAACCAATCGATGTATAGATCCAGATTGATGGATAATTACATCCCTAATAATACACTCATCAACAAATCTAAGTAAAGGCAATTGGTTTTTAGAACAACATCTAGTAGTTTTTAGTGTGTGTAAAAAAAAATCCAATAAGTTGACGTTCAATTTTAATTTCAATCAGTAAGTAACATCTTACTAAATCCTTGTTTTGATACAACAGCAGATTTCACCTGTGAGACAAAGAGGGACTTCTATTGAATGGCGTCCATTTATCTATATGGTTTCATGTGCATCAGTGCAAAAATATCCGACCCACGATGTGAAACTGAGAGCTCTGTTTAATTCCCCTCATTCAAACAAAGATCTGTTGCTTGCCTTTCTTGCCTCAGATAAAAGGAGTTAGGGCACACAAAAACCACAAAAACATGAAAGCACATATTCCATTAAGTCTCCTGAGGGGCTCAATAGAAACAACAGTGTCTCCATATTAGGAACAAAAGAGAAAAACATGTCAGAAGAAACTCAAATGGAGACCTGAGCAGCTCTAGTTGCTTCGATAACCCACCATGGATTAAAACAAAACAATCAGTAAAAAGGGTCTGACATTGCAGGCTCCCTTCTCAGCTATTTACTACTTGGTGGTAAGAGAGACAGAGAACAAAGAGTGAATGAGGGAGAGTCAAATAACAGCATTTCCTGTTGTTGTTTTTTCCTAATTTGCTAGCTACGATGCGGAGCGTGCTTGCGAGCACCACTCCTGCGTGGCTGGCTGGGGTCTAATTAATGGTAGGCCATGGTGATGGAGTTTGGAAAGTTTCTTTGCAGGCAGACTCTTGGAGGGGGCTGCCCAGGCTGCATTAAAGGACCGTGAATGGTGTTGAGGGGGAGAGAGAGAGAGAAAGACAGAGAGAGGGAGGGAAGGAGAGTGTGGGGCTAGGATTAGCCGTTCTGCTCGGCAGGCCTTGTGTATCACAGCCAACAGCATTTCTCCCTTCTCCTCACCTCGCCCTCCTCTCTTCTTCCCTTCTTTTCTCAAACTCCATTTTTAATGAGATCAACAATTAGCTCAATTCAGAAAAAGCTGAAAGAGCAAATAAATCAAATGCTTCCCTCCCTCTGCCTTCACTGTCTCTCTTCTGTCGTTTCACCTAACAAGTCACTGATCTCAATGCTTCTTGTTTAGGGTTTATTAGTTTTCGATTCGTTTGCTCATCCCTCTTCTCATCACTGTCAGGCTCCTGCTTCCTCTGACCTTCCTACTTGTGCTTCTCCTTTCCTTCTTGCCATAAAAACTTCAGCTGAATATCAGTTAACATGCATGCACTGCACTGTATAAAGTGCACTGGCACTCGTATAAACGGAGTCCTTTTTCAAGCCAACATTTTCTACATCAAACTTCTGATAACTTCTCTGAAAACAGTTTGTAAAGAGTTAACATCTTCTGTTTCTTTACTCTCATTTAACAGTAAACTTAATATCTTTTGGTTTTGGATAAAACAAGACATTTGAGGGCCAGATCTTAGGTGTGGAGAACATTGATTTGATGACATTTTTCACCACTTTCTTTCACATTTCGCTGGCCAAATAAGATTCATTTGTGAGTGGGAAAAACACAAAAGTCCAGAATAACAAACAGACATTAGTTTTGCTTAATAGGAATCAGAAAAACAAACAAATCAGATATTGTAGGATTTTATCTTGGGGTTTTCTGTAATTTGTGTGATTTTTATGGTATTTGTCTGTTTCTGACCTTTCCCCAATAAATATAGAAAAAAAGGATTAATCAATAATGGTGGAAGCAGCATTTCTCAAGGAGCCTTCTTTCTCTTTTCTCAACCAACAAAAGACCACATCTCTTTGTTTGGTAGTCTTTCCATTCCTTTTTTTTTTATCAGTGCATTTCCAGTAGTCATTCCTTCCCTCGTCTCTACTTTAAGTCTATTTACTTTTATGAAACAAGACACTGCTTTGATCCTTGCTTGTATTGCTCTCAATTTCCCAAACTCTTCAGCTCTCACCTTTCATTTGCATGCAGTAAACCATGTCTACCTTGACAGAACACAAAGGAGGGGTTTAAATGTGAAACAAATGACTAGAGTGGTCTAATAATGGTCATTATCCAAACAATCCAATTTCAAGGAAATGGAAAGCAGTGGGATAGGTGCATAACAGCATTTGCTTGCCCTGCAAGCCGTCATTAGAAGTGTTTGGTATTTTGATCATAATTTGGCCACACAATGTGTTTTGTTGATTAACAATTACTGGTTGAACGCAACCAGGGAGGAGTCGCAGGGTAAATTGCTGTTCTGAATATGAGAGTGGTGCATTTTAGACCCACAGCCGTTGTCAAATGGCAATTTGTTTTTCTCTGAGGATTAGGCAGAACCCCTTTAGAGAGCATAATGGAAGTGTGTGAGTCATGGCATGTGTGGATGAAGTGAGAGTATGGTAAAAAGCATGCTAGTGTTGACTTTCTTTTGTATGATAGTTAATAAGCACTGAGGAGAATAGAAGTGGGTGTTTGTATTTACATAAAGGTCTTTTGATCAAACTCTGAAAATATGTTCTGATAACTCTACAAGTCAAGAAGTGGTATGTGTCAAAGCTATATTGTTTATGTGTGAGAGAGTGATTAGGTTGTGTACTGACCTCCAGTAGGACTGGGCCTGCTGCCCTTGCCTCTGTCAGTGCTGGAAGCGTCCAGCATGCTCATGTCAGACATCTTGACTCCTGATCGAGCCTCAGCTATCAGCTGCCGGGCTCGCTCTCTCAGCTGTCTCCGTCGCTCTGCATCCCGCTCCTGCACAAACATAAATATAAACAAAGAGATAAACAAAATAAGTTTAGTGGCTCTGGTGTTGGTTCAGGTGCATGGTGATGAAATCAAGTGAAAAGAGAAGTGTTACATAATCAGTCGTGCTAGTTTGAGGCAGCCACACGTTTTGATTTAATAAAAAAATACAAATATGCAACTTTCCTTTTTTTTGCCTGATAATGTTTCAAGACCAAAAAATAAATGAACTTTTGTTCTCAGAATGGATGTTCACATCCTAGTGCAATATGGAGTAAAGAGTGCATAGACAGACAGACAGACACAGACACACACACACACACACAGACATACACACACACACACACACACACAAACACTCACACCATCTTGGCACTAGACATACAGTATTGAGCCGTCACCATCAGAGTAATGGCAGAAATGCCATTTTCAGGCCAATCCAATTTGATCCCCCTGATAGCACAGGCCATTGCACACACATACACACACTTAGAAAGCAAAACAGGAAAAGCTTGATGATGTCAACTTTACTGATGACGTCTCAAACAAGCGCACACACACAAGGGAACACTCAATACACAGGCTGGGCGTAAACATGGTAACAGGTAGAAATACACACATGTTTGACTTAACAAGTAAAGACTCATCAAAAAGTAAGACAACAGTCTTAACTTTACTGTTTTAACTCCGGCTACATGATAAGATCCTGTTCCAAAACACGACAGAAGTTAAGCAGCACAACAAATCCAATGGGCTTTGACACGCACAAACTCGTCCTACACAACTCAACCTACGCAAAAACACACACCTACCCCCTGAGACTCAACCCCACAGCCCCCTTTCTCAAACATGCACAACCGGGTGACCCAAGGGAGAGTGGTGCTGCATTTCTCTGTCACTGTTCCCCTCCCTGTGGTTTCCTGTTAATCAGGCTTCTCCATATTGAGGCAGGGGTTTTAGGGCTGGCCTATTGAAGACGCCCATTTATCCATTAACAAAACAAGCAGCGCCCGCTAATGAGCTACATCTCTCCATTTCCATGTCAATTGTTTGTTTGTAGCCATTGTTAGGCCGGAACAATGGGGCTGTATTGTAAATACAGCACCCCTAATGCACCCTGTGTGTATGTGTGAGTGTGTATGTGTGTGTTACAGAGAGCCCAAGGGGATACCTATAGGGAGAAGGGAATAAACCTTAGAGAGAGGCCGATAAAGAGAGACAGTGGCCGAGGGAATCAGAGAGAGAAAGAAGGAGAGAGAGATTCAGAAAGAGAGGTAAACAGTGAGATGGGGAGCAGGAGGAAAAAGGGGTGTTGATACTGCTTGTAGAGTATTGAGTGTCACTTCTTTCCAGCTCCCATTTCAGCACAGTGCACGGCAACAAAGCAGGAAGACAAATGAGCCTTTGTCTTCTTAAATCTAACACTTTCCAAAAAAATGAAGTGCTCTTTGAGAAAAAAAGAACAATAAAAAAAGATAACTCCCAACTTAATCTTGGACATATTTAACTTAAAAAACAAAAAACAAAAACAAGATTCCACAAACATGACTGACACTCAAAGTTGAGGTCAAGCATCCAAACTACTTCAGTGCCCTCAGAGTTTAGGGGTAAAAAGGATTATGGTATTTGATTAATGTGGCTAATTTTTATCAATTTAAAAGTATAAATTTAATTTCCATATGTTTATGAGACCAAAGAACATGACACAAATGAAAAACTATGGAGGAGTCTAAATAATATTAAATATCTAATATATACTACTGAATATGATAGAAATAGTTTTCACAGCTTATTATCATCCGTTGAGCGGCAGAAGTTGAATTTACATCTATTTAAATGTTACATGAGTGCAGCTTGTAGATATAAAACAAAAGGGAACCTAAGATGGACTATTGTGGAAGACCACAAGGCAGACTTTGTTGTGCAACGGTCTGCATTCACAAGAGAAATAACAGTAATCATGACTGTTTTCAATAAAGTTTATCTTTATCTTTATGTTGTTTTCAGAATCTGAACTGTGAATGAAAACTTAGGGGGGAAAAAAAAGTTGGACCCAAGGGACCAATGTCTCTTTTTTCAGCCTCACTTTCACTATGTTCATGCAGGCCTCTCCCTGCTTTAATAAATGTAATATGATAACTGGTAATGTCATTGATGCCCTTCCGGCTACAGACTGGTTATGACATCCAATCTGGCCTACACAGATATGAATAAAACCACCAATTTAAATCTTCTTGTGTGTGTGTGTGTGTGTTTATAAATATAAATATATATATATATATATATATATATATATATATATATATATATGTGTGTATAAATATACATATATGTATATACAAGCACACACACAGCTAGGGCCCAAAATCACTTCCAAATCCCACTACCCCACTGCTTTATTGTTGTTGGCCAGTTTTGGGACAGGAAATGGGAAATTGACTTTGCCTATCCAGAGGCTAGGATTAACGCTACAGAAAAATACATCAGACTAGCTTCTAGCTCAGTCAGCTACAGTCACTGATTAGAAAATAGGAGTGAGTGTTTGTAAGGTGAAACAAGGAGAATAAAAGATAGGAAAGGTTTCTGTTGTGTAAGACAATAAGTGACATCATGTAGGATCACATTCCTCTCTGGCCAAGTTTTCTTTTGAGCAGAAAAAGGTCTAGGAATATAAAGAAATGTTCAAACAAAACAAACATATTGAGGATGCATGTGTACTGAAGGAGCTTCATATGCATCTTCACGTTCACAAAGAGCTCAATCAGCAGAGAAAAAAAAAACTCTATTGAAATGAGTTTCATGGACACTCCTTTCATAAATCAATGTGGGTCCTTGGCACAACTTTTCAAAATCACAAGGAAAACTTTTTGTCATGATGTGTAGTGATGAAAGGCCATGCTGATGACATGATTCAAAAACAAAGGGACGTTTATGCTAACTCTTTTAAACGTGTAAAGTGGCGATGGTAATTGCACACAATGGATAACATTCACAGCAGTTTAATTTGCAACACCGGACAAGGATGAACCAATAGATGTAAAGTAATTAGACTAGAACGCATGGCCAAGACCAGTCGTGTCCTTACAGTACATGATCAAAGCCAGTATGACAAAAGACATAGAAAAAAGGAGGAGAGAAAAGTGTGTCAGCTGGTGGTCAGTGAGTAGCACAGTTTCAAGAATAGAGGCTCAAGAGGAGAAGAGACTTTTCTTTGTAAATGGCGACAGCGAGAACAATCATGTTCTGTGTCTTCCATTGACTGCTGGGAACATCCAGTGGAGGAGAGGCTAAACGGTTGAGTGCAAGGCTGAGACAGAGGGCTCCTCTGTGGGCTTGGCATTGGGGTGAGGACGCCTCTTCGCTCTGGAAGCTCTTTTTGAGCAGGGGGAGCAGGTTGTCGGCTTGGCTGCTCTTTTCTGGGCAAGGAGAAAGAGGGAGGGAGGACACGCACCACTGGTCATGTACAGAGACCTGGCGTGGGCACCAAGTGATGCCCCACAAACATACGCACACAGGGATGCACACTAAATCACTATCTAAAAAAGGTCTGCCAACCTCCCAGATAGCCAGCCAGTCTGGCAGCCAGTCATGCAGCTCCAGACATTTGTCATGACAGGCTAATTCACAGTCAAGAGGTGCTTTAGGTCTCTATCTTGTCCAGGCACACACACAAACTAACACACACACACTAAAAAGCCACAGAGCACATACACACACAAACTGGTTTTCAAAGCGGTGTGATCACACACTCAAACATTGTTTTAGATGCTGAAATATGATCCAAACATGATGCAGATGAGGATATGGCTCAGTCATAGTGTAAAAAATAACAAAAACAGGATAAAACGTAGCTTAGCCATTAGCCACACTACCTGCTTTAGATACTTTTGGTTTTAAAAGTGATCTTTAGATTAATTTGTGTCTTGACTAATTATACTCTTGTGATTTTTAAGTAAATCATTAAGCAATTCAAGTAATAATACAGAAACCTTGGCTATTGTGACATAATACGAACAAAACTTCTACCCTGTGAAGGTCACATGGCTAATATAAAGCTGCTGACCACATTACAAGTGTCCTACCACTGTGTCGTAAAAACCTACTTTTCGAATGGTTTAAAATGTATAATATTAATTATCATCAGGAAGATCATTTTCATTTTTATGTTTATTGTGAAAATGTTTACTAACAAATTACATCAGGTCAAATTTGGAAAGACGAACGGTAAAAACATTTTGGGGAAAGAAGCGAGGGGGTTTATGGGAAATCTGTTCTTTAGGTGTGGTTATGAAAGAGGTTTCCTAACAGCTTTTTTTGTATTTTGTTTACACCAAAAGTACTACACTAACTCATTTCCAACAAAAAAAAAAATATGACAATGTAATTGCATTTAAAAAAACTAAATGTACTAAATTTAGAAAACTTCTACTGTCAAAATGTCTGACAAATATTTTGAAGAAATAGAGAGAGGGAGAGGGAGGAGAGAGAGAGAGAGAGAGAGAGAGAGAGAGAGAGAGAGAGAGAGAGAGCTTATCGGCTGGCTCCAGACGGAGTGCGCGGATCAATGAGCATGCGAGGCCCACAGCGATCAATGCATTTGATAAAGAATTAAAGAAGAGCCACTGTACATGGCTATCAAAGAACCAGGACACGGCCTAATTATGATTCGACGGGTGCGTGCCCATGATAGGGGTCTGTGTGTGAGTGTGTGTTATATGTACATAAATATAAATCTATGTCAGTGTCATATACAGCTGTGTGTATGTGTGAGGGTCTGAATATTAGAGTGCTGTGTGTATTCTTGTCAGACTAAATGCACGTTGTTTTGGAGAAGGTGTCAATTTTTGAAAGAGAACTTGAAATAGGAACCAGTCTTTTAATCATGCTTTGTTTTTTGTTTATCGTAACAAAAGAAGCCGTAGAAACACACCAGTGTACATGTAGACGTGTATGTGTGTAACATCAAGCTGATGTTTTCATGTGAATAATTTTGTGAACGTTTGATTTCT